AAAAAAACGAGCACTTACGTGTTTGGGGGTGTCAGAAAGGGCTTCCAGGACAAAGGGGAGGAAAGCGTAAAAGCACAGCCTATTTCCAAGTTTACAGTTGGGCCTACGTACCCACTTGGGGTGGAAGGGAGTCAAGGACAGAAGGACTTTGGAATTAAATAAAAAGAGGAGACACCTTGATTTGAAGTAAGGAAGTGAAAAGTGCCTCTAATAACCAGATAAACATCTCAGACTGGCACAGAACTTGGAACAAAACGAGGAAGCAGATGGGTGCCAAAGGAACAGAGTAAGTCCACCGACACATCTCTGTCTCTTCCCCCAAATCAATGGGCAGAAAGAGCAGTGCCGGTCTGTCCCCAGGTGGGCTCTCTACGGCATCCCATTCTTCAGGCTGGAGGGATGAAGCTAACTCTGGACTCCAAGTCAGGCCAAGCAGATAAGTGAGGGAAAAGAGACCACGAGAGGGAAGAAGTGAAATAAGGGGAAAACGCAAAACAAGACAGAAATGAAAAAGAGTGTCAGTTGCTCTAACACAGGATAAAGATACTTCAAGGGGAAAAAAAATCAAAAGTTAATGCTAAGAGAGATGACAGAGGAGGTTCAAATGTGTGCCATTCCACGAACATTAATCAACAAGGGGAAGCGATGTCCCATTTGTGAGCAATCTGATGATAATGCGGCTACCACAGGACTACAGAGCACAGCAGAAATACTGTAGCGCTGCTTCTGCGATACTTTTTGATCGAGGCGCTTTGTTACGGGGAGAAAAAAACGTGGTGGGGAAGATCACTCATTTTCACTAGGTCAGTATTCCTGTTTATGTGTGCACGGGGGGCGGAGGGGGACGCCGTAGAAATGATTTAGAAGTATGATCCACTGTGTGCTACAACCTCTTCTCAAAGATGGTGGTCATCCTCACCCTGTAACGTTAAAAGTGACATTCATGTGGAAGGGAGGAAGAAAGAAACTAGAATAAAGTAAATGTCTCCAATTTTTATTTGCAACAGTCCTGTGCTTTTGATCTCATTGGACCTATTTTTTTTTAATGTTTATTTGTTATCTTGAGAGAGAGAGAGAGAGAGAGAGAGAGAGAGATGCAAGCAGGGGAAGAGCAGAGAGACAGGGAGACACAGAACCCGAAGCAGGTTCCCAGGCCCTGAGCTGTCAGCACAGAGCCCAATGCGGGGCATGAACTCATGAACCACGAGATCATGACCTGAGCTGAAGTCGGACGCTTAACCGACTGAACCACCCAGGCGCCCCTCACTGGACTTATTTTTGATGTGTTCTTTGGGTTTACAAATAATTACAGTTGCCCTAATTTTTAGAAGAAAGGACAACTGATAGTAAATATTTTACCAACGGTCAAGAAAAAATATCGCACAAAAGGCGCTATTGATGAAAACAGTCATTTCATTGGTTTCCCTTTTCCTCCATCATTTTCAGGATTATCTTCATTTCAACTGAATTATTACTTAGTTTTTCCCCTGAGCATTTTCCCTTCCCTTTGTACCAACTAGGTAACCAGTAGAGCTGTTTGTACATTAAGTCATTTTAGTATAAAGTCAAAGGATCGAGACTGGCTCAGCTCTTTAAACCTTTTTCTACAAGCAGTAGTTGCCCCCATAAGAATGCATCTAAGACTAGCATACTCTTTATAAACTATTAATAGTCTGGATTCTATATGGAACACACAGACTTTAGTCCAAGAAGTAAACAGCAGATATGAAATCAAAAAATGTTGATAAATAAATGAAAAACCTTGAAATTTCTTATTAAATTTCCCAATGAAACAAACAAAAATGACAATGACCAACAGGAAAGGAAGGAGGTAGCGAGAGCACCTCCATGCACAGATCATTTAATTGCTGTAATATTTAAAGAAAAAAATCTTAAGAAAAATGTTGTTCTGGTTAATTACCGAACCATGAGCTCCCATCTCCTAGCTCCTTGGTCTTGGCACTGACCTTTTGAGTTCAATCTCCATCATACACTTTCCATATGCCCACATCCCCTTCTTCAACCTAGACTTTGGGTTCTGAGAATAGAATGATAGTTGCCTTTTATCAAGCTCCAGATGGGCACCGTTCCAACAGCTTCACAGGAATTGAGATTACCTGATCTTCATACCTGCCACTCCGAATGACATCGTTAGTCTCATTTCATAGCTGAGACACAGGGACTGATAACATGGATTTGGTTAAGAAAGCTGCTCCAGGCCCCGGAGTTAGTGAAGGAGCAGATGGGGAGTTAGGGAAATAGCACATTGATAGGGCCTGAGCACTAAATAGTCACAGAAGTCACATCCATGGGTTATAAAATCTCATATTCTCAAATGTTATTTGAGAGCTATAGGGAGTCACTCCAAGAATCACAGCTATGGAACTGTTTGTTTGTTTAAAATAAACCTTTTGTGGGGCACCTGGATGGCTCAGACAGTTAAGCGTCCGACTTCAGCTCAGGTCACCATCTGGCTGTTCATGAGTTAGAGTCCCACATCGGGCTCTGTGCTGACAGCTTGGAGCCTGGAGCCTGCTTTGGATTCTGTGTTTCCCTCTCTCTCTGCCCCTCCTCTGGTCACACTCTGTCTTTCTCTCTCTCTCTCTCAAAAATAAATAAGTTTTTAAAAAAATTAAAATAAATAACCTTTTGTGAATTAAAATGTGTTTCCGCTCTGAAAAAGTAATCCCTTTGTACTCAGAGGTTTCCAAAATGTGTTTTCCACCTTTCCCCTTAATTTTCCACCTTTTTTCTGTTGTATCTAGCACCTAAGCAGCTCAAAGCTAAGCGTTACAAGTGTAGGTTCTGATGCACTTCTCTCACTGTACGATGAGGATGATATTAGTACCTACCTCATCGGGGGCAGCAGGGGTGGTTAAAGACTAAGAGAGATAATATATTTCATCAGCTTGGCAGTAATGGAGCCAACCCATGAAGTTCTAGTAGGTACAACTCTAAGAACTTTACACGGAATAACTCCTTAATACTCCAAGTAACTCTATAAGGAAGGTACTCCTATGATCCTCATTTTACAGATAAGGAACTAAAGCAAAGAGGGGTTAGCAAGCTTGCCAAAGACACAGAGCTGATGTCAGAGCCAGGATTCTAACCCCAAGTTCTTGCTCCTGACCATGACACCCTACTGTGCCTATAATAAGTGTTTCATAAAATGCTAGCTCTCTAGACAGCTCACTTGAGACTGAGGCCTTACCAAGTTAATCACTGAACCATTAAGAAGCCAGTCTGGCTTGTGAAGTCTTCTCCATGCATCAAAAGACCGTAATTCTGGGGGCGCCTGGGTGGCGCAGTCGGTTAAACGTCCAACTTCAGCTCAGGTCATGATCTCACAGTTTGGGGTTCGAGTCCTGCATCAGGCTCTGTGCTGTGTCACAGCTCAGAGCCTGGAGCTGCTTTGGAGTCTTTGTCTCCCTCCCTCCATCCCTCCCCCATTCATGCTCTCTCGCTCTCGCTCTCTCTCTCTCTCTCTGTCTCAAAAATAAACAGGCCAGCTCTGCCAGCATCCAGAGTGAGCAGTGTGGTTGGAATGGGGAGCTCCACACCAACAACCAAGAGCTCAACCTTCTAGTCCTGGTTCTGCCACACATTTCCTACGTAACCTCAATCACGGCATTTAACCTGTATTGCTCCAAATTCTCTTCTGTAAACCCAAGGTAAAAGACAAAACAATTGGCAAGACTCTGAAATTTCAGGATTCCAGGACATAGTCTGAATAAGCGTCACTGATTAAACACCAGGGGAGGAATGTGCCAAGCAGACTACTCATACTTCACACAATGATGCAGGCATTCAGCACTCTTACTTTTTTAATACTTACAATGTACAAGAAAATGGTTTGGGAAAGAGGTCTTAAAGGAATCTAAGGACACTGAAGACGAACTTTTTTAAGTATCATATATTTTTTTTCAAGGGTAAATAATGATTACTGTCCATATATAGTTGTGCTGGTTGATTTACAACAAAATTCCCCTTGGCCACAAAGGACCCGAGATACTCTGTGCTTCAGAGGACAAAAATGAATAGGGAACCTCAAGAGTATTTTTCCTATAGAACAAGACGATTTAATTGGCCATATGTGAATTATCTATTTGGAAAAGCAGTGACAGATTATTTTAAATCTTGGACTGCTTTTTTACCATCCAATTGTATCCTTGGCCCCTGTATTAGTTTTCTATTTATTGCCATAATAAATTACCATGAACTTAGTGGCTTAAAACAATACAAATTCTCTGACAGTTCTGTAGCCCACCAGTTCCACTGAGCTAAGATCAAGGTGTGGGCAGAGCTGCATTCTCTCCTGGAGGCCCTAGGAAGGAATGTTTCCCTTGCTTTTTCCGGCTTCTAGTGGCCACCCTAGTCCTTGGCTCCCAGCTCCTTCCTCCACTCCAGGCCAGCAGCACAGCCTCTCTCCAACCCTGCTTCCATCTCCACACCTCCTTCTCTCTCTTCTACCTCCCTCTTCCACTTTTAAGGACCCCTGTGATTACACTCGGCCCACCCAAATAACCCAGGAAATCTCCGTTTTAAGGTCAGCTGATTGTCAACCTTAATTCCATTTGCAGCTTTAAACCCCCTTTGCCGTGTAACCCACCATATTCACAGCTTCCTCGGTTAGAATGTGGACATCTCTGGGGGAGAGAAGGTGCGTAATTCTGCCCACCATCCCTTCCCTCCCTCTGTTGTCCTTCAGAAGCAATGAACTCAGGGAAGGTTAGTATGTATAAATACTTCACAAAATTGAACAATCATTGGAAAATAAAACCATCCCTGTCTTCCCCCTCCTTCGCTTCCTTTGAACTATAGGAGGTATACCTTCCAAAGTCAAATGAGGATCGTGTTTACATTGGTTGTCATCACCCACTATTTGCTCACTTGCTCTACAGCGTTCACACAGAAAACTGACACTTGACAAGATTGTCTTTAATTTCTTTCGTGGGTAAATTTACAAGTTTGTTATGTTTTGTAGTACTTAGGACATAGTGATGTCATCCCAGCCAACAAACCAACCTCAAACATATGAAACCACACTCAGTCCTTACACACCAAGCAACACCATGGCTCCTGGGTCTCCACCACCTCTGGGTTTCACGCACCCCACAAAACAAGCTCAGAGTGCCCAGCCTCCCTTCTTTGGGTCTCCAGGAATCATCACCAAGAGTCAGCAGGGCCAAGGAAACATACAAATGGTAAACCCAGCTACAGGAGCAGCAACCACAAACTTTAGAGAAGAAGCAAAGATACTAGGGGTAAGTCTACTTACTGTGAGAATTTTAATTTTGCATTTGCAAGGTTTGATTGTCCTTATAAGTTATATAGGTGGAGAGAAGTTTGTGATCTCATGACCTACATGTCCAATCATTAAAAATTTCTGAACATTCTTCTAGAAAGTGTATAGTGGGGGATGACAACCACTGTAAATAAATAAAGAAGCATAAAAAGTATAAGAAGTACCAGGCAGTGAAGGGCAGGGGTAGCAATTTCAAGTTGATCAGGGCAGGCTTTCCTTAGAAGATGACATCTGAGCAAAGACAGGAAGGGAGGAGCAGACATTAATGTCATGCAGACATTAGGGCAAGAGCTTCCAGGTAAAGCTGGAAAGGCCTTTAGAGGAGAACATGTGCTGCGTCTGGAAAACAGGAAGGAGGCCGGTTAAGTAGAACAGTATGATGGAGGGAGGTGGTCGTCTCAAGGAGGGCAGAGGAGGGGTGGGGGCCAGGCCCTGTGAGGCCTGGAGGACAGAGGCTCTGGCTGGTACTCTGAGTGGAAAGGGGGAGCCACTGGAGCATTCTAACTGGTCACAGAGAGGTGTTCAGGGGAAGGACTTTACAGTGATGGTTGCCGTTTTGTTTGTAAAAGTTCCAGTTGACCGAAGCTATTTATTTTCCCTGGAGACTGTACATCTATACTATTAGTAGCCCCCAAGCACCACAACAGTACAGGAGCCGCAGGTGGCAGGACTTGGGGCATCTGCCCCAACAGACTCAGAACGTAAAGTAGCTGTGGCCAAAAATCAAGAGTGAGTTAAATGACCAAATTACCAAATCTGGCCTGTAGGCAAGTTTGGTCGGTATATGGTACAGTCAGGGTTATACCAGGAGAAGAGTAGACCAGCATTAACCCAACATCTAACTGCCATCAAGATGATGGCAAGGGTGAGGATAAGAAGCCTGAGGTTAGGGGCGCCTGGGTGGCGCAGTCGGTTAAGCGTCCGACTTCAGCCAGGTCACGATCTTCGCGGTCCGTGGGTTCGAGCCCCGCGTCGGGCTCTGGGCTGACGGCTCGG